GGGGGGGGCGCCCCGCCGGCCGTAGCTGGCACCGTGTCGGGGCGAGGCCGTGAGGCTTGTGGCAGGAGCGCTTGGCCAGGGCGAGGGTTTCTGAAGAGCCGAGGAGAGTCAGGCTGCAGATATGCGGAAAGGTGAAGCCTTGTGCAAGTGCAGAAATGCCGGTCTGGAAATGGGGTTGCTCTTCTGGGTCTGCAGTTGCACGCCCTTGGCCAGACAGCGGGCGTCAAATGGTCGGTGGTCGAAACGGCCACTTCTTCCAAGGGCCTGCTCCCTGCTCCCCGCTGGTACTGCACTCTGCTTACTGGGAGCGCAGGAGAAGGCAAAGGCCAGGCTTTCAAACGATCTTTGTGATCGTGGAGGCCAGATTTCTGGCTGGAGCTAGGGGATATTTGACGTCGTTCTAGTCTCCGTGGGTTGCATGCCACTGGGCTTATTTACAGCCATAATAAAATAAACCCATCAAAATCTGACAGTTTGCCAGACAGTAACTTTCAAAATGGATTAATCCTTTTGTAGCAAATCACTTCTCTTTGTACTTATATCTGTCACTGGCAAGACAATTTTACATATTTAAATGCCTTGCCAGTAAACCAGAGAGCAGGTTTGTGGGAAACTACCATGGACCTGACTCTAAAATACCGCCGCAGTTGAGGTGCAAATTTTATGTTTGGTGAGATATATCATCCCAAGCATCCTTTCACGTATTGTGTAGCCTCTTTCTTATCTGGGAGACGTGAAGCCTTTAATGTTAATTGTGTTTTTATCCATGGTGGAATGGAGATATTGTTTGTTGACACGTATTTCTTATGTGGCAAGTTGTTAGTATTGGTATGTTACTGTAGGAGTGTTCATGTATTGACTTCTTTTTCTGGATTGTGAAAACATTTTTTTGGGAAGCAGCTATACAAACTGTTTGTTGTCAAAATAAGGTCTTTGAAATTGTCTATTCATAAATTTTTCTCCTTCACCCTCAAGTTTTTGTGGTGCAACCTCAATAAAGGATGTCGGGTTTGTTGAGACAGCGTATGCGTTCATTCTCACCACCACAGAAATTTAGTACTAGAAAACGTGACGTGTGCTGAGGCATGTTGAACATCCTAGAAGGATCTTTAACACGTTTGGGCTGTTCTTGATTTTTGACCAGGTAACAGAGTTAGTAATGTAAACCCTACAGCGGATTCTGCTATTAGTCTCGAAACTGGGGTGAAAATTGTCTGTTGTTCTTGCATTGTCTTGGAAGTGGAGATGATGGAAGATGAAGGGCTGCAAGTGGGTGATGAGAATTGGGACCTGTAAATTCTGTCTTTATTTAAACAATAGCCTCAAATATAAGGACTGAATGCATTACTGTGGCAATCCATTGTCTGGAGACGGCCAGAAGTAACTCTATGGATAGTGGCTCTTGCAAGGCAATAGGCTGTCTGTCACATTTTTGTTTGCTTTTGTTTTGTTTGTCAACCAAATTTTTGTTCCTCTCTGAATCCTAAATACTTGTGAAAAATAGGGAATTAGAAGAAAACTTAATATGAATCTTGGCTGTCTTAGCAAGTGTTAATATTAAATACGGGCTTTTTTTCATCATCTTCTCTTCAAACTGACTTTTTAAATTGATGTTGCAAATAGGTAATTACAGATGCAGTTGCCACTAACCGTAACAAAATTGTGTATCTAATTTTTACCTTTTATGCCTGAAAATGTCCTCCAAAGAAATTCTTTTCTGTGTGTTCTGTAAGTGGTGCTTAGGCTTAAACTACAGTAACAGTTTGGTTTTAAATGTAGTGTTCTGCAGTTCTAGTCTTCTGTTCTTCGCATTGCTGCTCAATGGCTGTGCGGAGCTCTGATTTGGCATGGTGACCGCCACTTGGCAGGACGGTTTGTAAATCCCTGTGTGGAGTGAAAAGTACTTCTTGTGTTAGGAAAGCAAATGTTTTCCTGGAGAAGCGGAGCCTCCTTGAGAAGCCAGTGATCGGGAACTGACTTCGCAATACTGCACATGTTGTTGTAATTAAGGCACAGCCTTTCCTGGATCCTGAAATAATGTAATAAATAATTGTGTTCAGAAACAGTGGATGTGTTGAATTGTTTCCAACCACGAGAGATAAGAGTTGCTAAGGATTGGAATGGAGTTGGGTTGGGGATGTGGAGCCATATTGAGCTGTGTTATGAAATGAAGCAGTTGTGTGTTTTGTGTACCTGCACTGAGTTATCCGCCTGCTTTCAGCTTTGCTTTTCAGAAGGTGCAGGAGCGGCGTATTTCCTTCTGAACTTCAGTTACAGTTTAATTTACTACTTTGCCTTTCAGTCTTAATGTTACGCTATTAGTAAAGCTGTGGAAAATAGGTACAATGTGGAACCTTCATCTTGATTTTCCTGGTAGTGTTACTTTGACATTAAAACACTGTTTCCTGTGCCAGTTTGTTCTCAAGGGTGACTTCTGCACTAAGGCTTGATGGGATGGACCTGTCTTTATCCTGAAAGTCCAGGCTTTCCTACTGACTCCATCTGTAGATACGATTGTTTTTAAGATGCAGGATGTCCAACTGTGTTCTGACTTTAAGACTCAACCCTTGGAAGTGCCTTGTAGCTTCTATTTTTATTCTAGTCGGTGGGAAATTAAGCAGGGGCATTACAGGATCAGACTTGTTAATGTGATAGTATCCACCAGCAATGACATTTAGAAAAGGTGATATTTGTGATATGTGTTTTATAGACAAGGAGCTGTGTCATCAGCTTGCCTAGTTGCTCACAGCAACTGATTCTTTCCTCGCAGGGGAAGAGCTCAGAGATCACTTCCCATCACTGAAATTGTTGATTCTAAGGTTGCAGCCACACACATCCTTGTAATAATGTATAATGCAATTTTGTTCATTCTTTGATGATTGAAAAATGACAAGTAATGAATACATCTAAAAATAAAGCTGTAGTTTGTGATGCCTGGGCTGTCATGACTGAAACTCTGACAGCTGTCTAAACTGTGTTGGATCCAAATGATTCATAATGAATCTGTGTGACAGATCCTATAAGAGGAATTCCTATTTGTCTGCTCTTAAATATTTGGTATTTCCAGAGCTTTTCTTGTAAAACACTACCACTGCCTTCCAGAAATAGAAAATTATAAGTGTATATGATCCAGGTATTTCCCCAAGTTATGTGTTTTATTTTTGCTATACAATAACCTACTTTGAGACTCCATGCTACTGTTTCATCCCTGGTCCGTACAGGATGCTGTGCTGCGACATGATTATAGCGAGAGAGATTCAGAGGAAGAACTGTACCATCTTAAATACGTGGGCTGTACACAAGCTCATACTGATAAATATACTCTCTCCTGCCTTGTTCTGGCTTCCTTTGCTCTCTTCAGCCAACATGTCACTGGGGCAGGAGCTGCCGATGGTGTCTTTCAGTACTGCGGGATAGGGAGAGCAAGCCAGTCTCAGGCGCTGCAATCTTTACCCATCGAATACCAGAGTATGTCTGCTCTGCCATCCTTCTGGGTGAGGTTCAAGTCCTCATTCTTTCCATTGTGTGAACTAATACTCTTTTGATTATACTTCTTTAGGGAGTACTTTGAGGAGTGGCTTTTTAGGCATTCCTTTGGTATCAGCAAAAGAACTTCCTTTTAAACTGCGCTTTTAGGTGCAGCTGTGTCTTGTGCAGAAATTGATTTTCTTGGTACCTGGTGTGTTGAAAACTAGCAAGCAGTTGTGATTTAAAGCAGTAGGAATCCGGTTTGGGATTGGCATTATGAGGTGAATGGCGCAATTTTTGATAGAAGAGGAACATGAGAAGCACTGTTCTGTGTCTTTTCTCATGGAGGCAATGTGCCATCTCTGTTTTCACCCTTGCCCTAAGAGGAGTCCTAACTGAGAAACCAGAGTCCTAACTGACAGATGTCTAGCTATGGAGACGCAGAATAATTTCATAACTGGGAAAGCTTTTAGAGACAAAATAGCAAAAAAACCACCCTCAAAATATCTTTCATGGGGACAAATGAAAGTAGGAGTTGCCTATTTATCAGTGAGGCTTGGACAATTGATGCTTAAAGTGCCATTTGGACACTGGACATAGATAATTTAAAAACCAGAAAGTTGATTTGCCTGTTAGGTTTGCAGAGTTCTGCAATCATTGAATGTAACTGTGAAAGCTGTTGTAAAAATCCAGCAAGGAAAGGAACATTGGACAAAAACGTGGAAGCCTTATTTCTCCCTGTTCTCTGTCAATCAGGAGCCACAGAGTTCCAGACTCTGAGCTAGCCAAACTCAAGACAAAGTTTTTGGGCTGAGTTCTGTGCTTGGAAAACTCTTTCCGTGCTTATTCGGTGATAAGGCAGCATACTGGACAAAAGTCCCTTGCGGGTAGGATTCTGCCTTTTAGGTGGACTCTGCTGTGCTATGTGGTAGTAAGAGCATAGTTTTGGGT